CATGAAATCTTTTGTTGCTTTCATAAATTGAAAATAACGATAGGCACAACTTATTTTTTAATTTGGTGGTTGTGTTCTCTGACTGAGTGGATTAGTTGGTTGGTTGGTTGGTTTACCATAGATCAAAATTAATGACTAACATAACAAAATAGTAGTTGAATTCCTAGTAGAGAACACCATCAGTACTAATTCGAAATTAACAACTATTTGTCATTCATGGATATTTCAAACAAGTACACTTCACATATTGAAGTTTGCCCTGTGAAGGTGGGGAGTCTCGTTAGTTAGACGGAGGACAATAAAAGATTAGCCATCCTAAACCAAACTAATCAGCTCTGATGAAACACAACTATATGAAGGAGATATTCATCGGAATCTATATTTTTTTATTTTTTTTACGTTCACAAGCTAGAGGCTTGAAGTTTTGGTAGTAGTGGTGTTTATTTTTACGGGATGAAGTTGCTAGCCTCACCTAGTTCGATCTTCCCACTTTACCAGTCTTATTACTGGTTTGGCGAGGTAAAGGAGTGCGTCGGCCAAGGCTCGAACCCCAGGCCACTTACAGGGTCGACGAGCATTCTACCACTGTGCTAACGACGCACATCGTAACCTATATAATCTCCCCTATTTCACGACTTAACTCATTTCCCCCCTTCTGTTTTGTTCTGTTCTTTTTATTTACCATTGAATGGTGTTCTTCATTCACAGTTGTCTATAACAGAACACTTGTGTCATCGAAATTTCATGTATCATTATTATTATTATTACAAACTGTGTAAGTTTCGTCTTTATTCATATAATGAGTGTGTGTATTATGCATTAGGTACTTTGTGCTCTGATTTTCTTTTGATATATAATCTTGCAGCTTTTATTACTCTTCTCTCCCCTTTTTTTTTCTCTCCCTCTCTCTCTCCCTCTCTACTGCTCTCCATAAGACATTGTCTTATGTGCTCTTTACCTTCTGTCGAACCGTCCCGTATATACGTCGTGTCTGTTCGCTCTGATTCTAGGAACTACTGTCTATTCTTCTCTTGTAACTTCTATTGTAGTTCAGTGGCGTTAAATTTTCTCAAAGTTAACATTTCTTTGACTTGTATTGTTGACGTAAAACTGTAAGTTGAAATACTCTTTATGACTTGAAGTAATATCAGGATAGGCAAACAGGTAGGTAGGTGAGTGGCATATCTCTGAAGTTGATGTTTCTTCATTCTTTCAAGAAGTAACTTACTAATCATTTACTAGATCTTCAAGAATTCAAGATAATATTAACATTCCAATTGACTCTCGTGGCATAAATGGCTTAATGATGGAGATAACACTTTGATGTCTTTGGTATGATCTGTCTGTCTGTTTTCGAAATAGAACTTTGCACAAATGTGCGGAAGTTCAAGTCGCCACATTCCGTGTAGCACGCGAAGCAAGAGAAGAAAGTACAAGAAAAGCATAATAGAAACAGTGAGAAGAGGTGTGAGACAAAGGAATAGTAATAACGAAGAACAAAACAGTTTCATTGAAGATCATAAGTCACAGGGAGTGGATGCATCTGCGCCACTGAGAACGATTTTGAGCCATGTCACCAATTGTTTCCAACCATAGATTTTTACCGTCCCGAGGACCCCAGCCTGGAAGTCTACACCTTCCTACGTGGCTTAGACCAACTGTTGTGGATTTCATTGACTGATGCCAAGTTTTTGTTTGACCGCCGCTAGCTTTTTTCCAGCCTGACCCTATATCCGCTAACATTGCTCGTCGAGAGAGGCGATAGCTTGGCATACGTAACACATGTCCTAACCATCTCAGTCTTTGTAGCTTCACGACTTCGTCGATTGATTTCCCCTGTTTACCTAGAACTCTACGCCTAACCTCCATGTTGCTCACCTTATTATGCCACTTTACACGGGAAATAGAACGCAGGCACCTATGATCAAAGACAGCTAGTCTTTTCATGTCTTCCACTCTCAGTGGCCAGGTCTCACAACCATAAAGGAGGACGGAGCGGACTGATGAGCAGTACACCCGCCCTTTGGTCAATAGTCGAACATCTCGTCTACGCCAGAGACGGCGTAAACTAACAAATGGTATGATGGGCAGTGCTGGGTTCGAGGCTCAGTCGGAGAGCACTGTCACTCACATCCAGATTAGGATTCTTAAATTGGGGAGGGGGGGGACGGGCGAATGCTCATTTTGAATTCCAGTACTTAGTCATCAGCCACTAAATACAATCCAGTCGTTCATATTCGATTTTAGTTTAACCATTACGCATGCCTAGCCATCGATCGCCTTCCTCAACAATGGGCAATGTTAACTGCCAACATACGATCGATCGTGATGCTAAAAGAGTTAGTGGTTGGTGGTCAAACCAAAAAGTGACTTCATCGGTCGGTTAAATCCATAACATTTAGTTTGTGCTAGTCAACCATGTAGGGAGGTTTAGACTTCCTGGTTGGCTGGTTGGGATTCTCCGGATGGTAATAACCAATGAAGGCTGGATGCAATATTATCGATTACATGGCTCAAAATCGTCGTTGTTAATGACTGGTGAAGATCCATTTACTCTGTGATTTAACATATCCAGTAAAACTCTATTGTTCTTCCATATTACTACTATTCTTTTTCCCTCACTCACACTTCTTTTTATTATCTATCTTTTGAACCTCTTTTTACTCTCTTCTCATGCTTTGTGTGCTATACAGAGGAGGTGCGGCAAGTCGAACTGCTACACATCTGTATAAGGTTCTATGTTGAAAATTAAAATTGTGGTGAGAGCTGTCTGCTAGCCAAAATTGTAGACAACTATTTACGTCAATGTTTACCTCCCGAATAGGGGTCATTAGAAAAAAACAATAACAAAGCTTAACCTTGAGGGACTCATCAACCAATCACAGCAGACTTAACGTTTGCGATTACGATTCACAGTTATATGACTTGGCCTTCTAAGAAACGGTCGTAAACAGTACAGAATAATAGGATTACTTCACTTTCAGGGGGATTTACACTTTTCATCGTTTAGACTCTATCTTTTCTGTTGTTTTATCAGTTTGGAAAATAAAAAGTCAATTAGACACCTCCCTCTTTTCAAAAGTCTCATGCTGCTTTTGCACTTTATGTCAATTTCAATATTCATAATCAATAAAGAAAGGAACGATTCCCGTATTCCTCTTACATCCATCCCTGTTATATATATATATATATATATATATATATATATATATATATATATATATATATATGTTATAATAAAACTAGATGTTCAACTTTCCTCTTTTCTCTTATTTTTAAGCTATATACTGTTTTATTTGCTGTTACTTAGCTATTTAATATTGCATTGTGTTCTACTGGTCATCTCCAGTTAACGGTGTAATTTATACTTTTGTCCGAAAATTGAGTGAATAATTGACTATTGTCCATAGAGAGTCGTTAGAGCGGTTAGGACGCTTTCCGACCATGCACATGTTCCGGAGTTCGATCCCTTGTCAACACACACTTGATATCAATTAGTCGGCCTGGAAAATTTGGGCTTCCGATATCATATACTGAAAATTCCATACTTGTGCCAAAATACTGTGTGGAATCAAGCTATAATCAAAAAAATATTTTAAAAATATTTTTTTTCTGGCTTTTTGAAGATTACGTCCTTGCCTGTTATGGGGGTTTCCACCAATAGTCTTACTATCTTGATGTGTTTTGTTGCGGGATAAACAAATACCCCACACTTCACTTGTTTGGATGGGGAGTTGCATCAGCCCCAACACCAGCTGGTTCATCGCTGATGAAATCTCAGCATGGATACAAAAGGCTTGTTTTGCCACTTGCCATCTCTGATGCAGTAGACGTTATATACCTGGCTGGCTGGTTATCGACCAAAGGGCGTGAGTACTGTTCAGCAGTCCGCTCACTCCTCCTCCTCCTCTATGTCCGTGAGCGAGACATGGCCATTGAAAGTACAAGACATGAAAAGGCAGGCTAGCTAGCTGTCTTTGATCATAGGTGCCTGCTTTCCATCCTCCGTGTTAGGTGTCATGGTTCAATAGGGGGTGGAGTAATATTAAGGTGAGGCATCGAGCGATGCTGGGGACATCACTCGTACCAAATTCCCATGAAACTTCATGAACTCTCTTACAAATTACCGCGCCTGGGCAGCGATGATTCGAGACGTTCATGAAGCCGGCTCATCCTCCCGTAGGAGATAGTCGAAGTAAAGTAAAGTAAGTAAGTATCGGTAGAGTGTTAGCTGGGTAAGAGGGAAGATCAATCGACTAAGCAAAGTTGGTTTGTAGTGGTATAAAAGTCGAAGCATTCTCCGCAGCTACATGCCCCTTCACCGACATACTAACTGTCGGCTTGCAGAATATTCATATTGGCTGAAGGATCGTGAGACTAAGTGTCTTACTTATAATTTTATTGTTCTTTTCCTTGTGCTCTATCGTTATCATCATGTTCTATAGTCTTGTTGTGTTGTGTGAACGAGTTTTCCTCAGTTATTTTTATTATGTGTTTTTTATTTTTCAAGTATTAGTTTTTTGTAGGAATTTAGCTTGATTGGTTGGAGGATTTCATCATAAGCTGATGTCAGTTAGAGAACCACTGGAAAACCTGGGACTACTGCACAGCCAACTGTTTCATCCCAGTTTGGGACTCTTCATCATTACGCACCCACGGGGGTTCGAACCCAGGACCTTCTGGTTACAAGGCGAGCTAGCTCGTGGAATATTTAGCCACTTGGACCCTACCCAGTGGCCAATTCATGACATATAACGCGACCACTTTTCAGTGTCTTCTTCGGTGAGCTACTGCCTCACCTATGACCTGCTGCACCCTACTGGTCACGGCTTCCTTTATTTTTTTAACCTGAAAAGTATCTTTTATTTAATTGGTGGATAGTGACTAGCAGTGGAATTCAGGACGCGCATTTCGTCCTATTTGGGACTCGTCATCTGGATGTACCTGCATCACTCATAATCTTATATTTCTTTCTCATTTTTTTTCTTGTCATCTTCTAGATATTCAGAAGTCAATAAATCAAACGGATTACATCGTACAGCATCTGCCATACCTAAAACACCAATTGGAAACACCGGCGGACGTAAAGGAGGAGGTGTTCGACGTTTAACTGTAGGAACTGCTTCTCCCCATCCATCAACCTTTGATTATTATTGCATTTCACCACCAAATTTTTTATATACAAAAAATAATGGTGATAGAAAGGCGTCAACACCTCAGACTATTGCTTCTTCTTCTTCTACCAATACCACCACTGCTACTACTACGACCGCTGTCAAAGCTGGCGGTGGTGGTGGTGGTGTGATTATTCGACGTCCTGTTGTGCCTCCTGTCTCTGCAACTCAATCGACAGTCCCCTCCACCACTACTACTACGAATATTTTCTAGTTTATATACATTTACATATTTTTTTAGAACGAGACTAAACCCGTCCACTGACTGAGTTTCGTCGGCATAATTTTTCAGCGTATTTATCAGTCTTCACTGATGATGAAATGACAGCTGTGCCTTTCTTTCCCTTCTCTATCTCTCTCTCAATCCTCTAAACCTTTTTAGCAGTGTTAATTTTATGTTCTTGTCGTCTGAAGGCTTAATTTCACATTTACAATTTGCGTGAATCAACCAGCCTCTTTTTTTGGTTATTCCTTCTCTTACTCTGTGTGTGTGTGTGGGTGGGTGCGTGTTGTTGTTATGAAGGTGCCAGTTATTATTATTATTATTGTTTTTTGTTTGTTTACTACACCCGGTTACCTTACCCTTTTGCCTTTTCGCCTTCTCTGCTTCTCTCCTTCCTTCCTCCCTTCCATGCTACTCTGATGTTATTCTTATTGTTACCAAATTTTTCATATGAACTCCATGATACTACTGAATTCCATTTTTAAGTAAAATCTATATTTAACTAAATTAATCATGATTTTGTTTGTTAAAGTATGCAAATATACATGCACGTGTGTAGTAAAGTTTACTTGTCAAATGATGATTAAGATAACATCAGTCTTCTCTCAGAGTCATCACCGCCTCTTTTTTAAATCCATTCCTCAAAATTATGTGACTATGCTTCATCTATTTATATGTATGCAAACAAATATATTTCTGTTGTGTAACGAACAATCGCTGACTGGATATATATATATATATATATATATATATATATATATATATATATATATATACAGTTACTAACGAACTAACTAACACTAACTTTGTTTATCGTTGATTCGATTTGATTAAGGCGGCAAGGGAAAGAAGCTGATGGGATAATATAATCATGCTATCTGACAATAAGGGCTATACGAGCAGGAGGAGAAGGAGGAAGACTTCGAGAGACTAATTCTGTTTTGCTTGTTGTTGTTTTTTTTTCTTTGTGATTCTTTGCAAGACAGTTTTTTTTCATACGCACAATCATTTTCGCTTCATTATATTATGTAATCGATTTAACTAACAAGTATAAATATATATACATATACATATTATTAATTGCAGATGAAGACAATTATAATCAAATTAAACTAATAAATTAAAATCAATCTACCTCGGATTCATTTCACTATTTACACACACACTTCTCCGCGTAAATATAAAGAACAAACACTAGTGAATATACCAGTAAATATGATGACTATATATTCAATGATACACGATTTGATCACTTGTTGTAAAGTAAATTTTCATATCAAAAATTCAAGAAAAAAATTAAATAAATAAATTCCTTTTCTTTTTTTTAGAGGAAAACTGAAAACTTTCATTGTTATTTATTTACTTGCTGTTGTTTCATCGAACAAGCGGTGACTAGGTGGGTGGGTGTTGTTGGGTGTCTAGGTCGATTATACGGCATGTCCCTTTTTGTTTGAAGCGGCTCCATCTCTGTTACTCGTCGGGTGTGTTGTAGGTATTAGGCCATAATAATATGCATATACCAGTATGCTTTCATGAAAATGCCTAGCAATATACGTCTAACTTTTGAAATTACTGTCTCTTTTAGTCTGTAACATTGTCCAGCAAAGATATCAATACCAAGCAAAGTGCAGCAAATGTAACGCAGTTCAAAGGATATTATTATTATATCCTTTAATTCCTAGAGGAAAATAGGGCTTCAGCCGCCCAAGTCCCCATTGCCTTCTGTTTTCTGCCAACTTTTTCACCCTGCTCCAAGTCTGCCCACATGCTTTCATCTCCTCTTCACATGACCTCCTTCAAGTAACCCTCGCAATGACGACCAACTCGCCGCTTCCCTTTAGGGTTCCACTCGAGCAATGTCTAGTGATGTCACTTGATGGTTTCCTCAGTGTATGGCCAGCCAATCCATCTCCATTTCTTCCTGCCTATTTCTTTCACAATCGGTTCCTGGTTGGTTTGCTTCCAGAGATCCCTCCCTGTTGGTGATCTTTTCTGGCCGGCCATCTGATCTTGAGTATTGAGCGAAGACAACTGTTAATGAAGGTATGTAGTTTGTTTGAGATGCTCTTTATGACGCACCAAGTCTCTGATCCGTGTAGAGTAGCACTGAGTGACTTCACATTGGAGTTGAAAATCTGGATGTTATTTTTGATGGTGAGTACTGTTGACTTCCACACAGACTTGAGAGTAGTGAAAGCTTGTCTTGCTTTTCCGATTCTGAATTTGATATCCTCGTCAGTTCCGCCTGTAGTTGAAACGATGCCAAAGGATATAATGCCTATTAATAATGTGTACGTCAAGCATACAGAAAATATAAACTGTCATTAAGCCACAATAGGACGGCGGTACAATTAGCGGGGATATACAGTGGTGCCACTTGGATGTCTATGTTGATCTGTAACTTATTACTCTACCGATAAATGTAGTCGATTTACAACCATTGACTGAGTTATAGGTTCTACTGTTGTTTAAATTGGTGGTCGCAAAGTTATACTGTCTCATAGCTAGAGTCAAGTAATCGATTAGGAAACGCTGCGTAAGGTTATCCCATATAGATAGAAATCATGTCCTGCCTTTATGGATTCGGTGAATGAATTCCATGCGGGTCGAGTATTTAACCACTTCTGTGTCACTAAGTGATCATTTGGAATCGCGTATGTGTGTGGAGGGGGCGAGACTATGGCAAAGAGGCAATACACTCCTGTGGGGGTGGGGGTAAATATTGTTATAGATGTAATTCATACTATAGAAGGAAATGGATTCGTCAGGGTATGTGCGGTTTTTTTCTAACCAAATCTAAGCTGTTTTTGCTAAGACCTATATGGGCAGCAGCAGCATGTGAGTTGGAAAACAGCCTGGTCTTCACAGTAGAAGTACAGTACCAAAGCTGTAGAGATATATAACATCATAAAGTTGGAGAGCATTGCGACTTGCCGCAGTGAAGTAGGGGTACTCGTTTGTATTTATGAAACTACCATCATAAAGAGGCGGTATAATTGATGAGCGAGAATAGCTAATCAAGTGTGGATGCTTGGAGTATACGACACTTAACTACGCAAATGTTTTGCGGAAACAATACCCGATAGATAGAAGTGCCAGAGTATTAATTCCAATTATTCAGAGTTTGGTAATGCTAGGAACAACTGTACATATTGAAGAATGTAGGGGATATAACCATTTGAGTTATATTCACCATAGTTTCAATCATTCCTCCGATCTTTTAGATCAAGTCATAGGCACCGGCACTAATTCTAAGGAATGAGGCAACAGTAAAGAATGGACACCAAATTGGAACGACCTTCAAACAGCCAATCAGATTCTTCTAGGTGAAAAGTGATATTTGCTTTATAAAAATGTGTACCTTTGATATATATGTGATAAAAATGAATCATACAGGGCATATATCTCTAATATGCTGCAAAAACTGCCCCCCAATTCCTCATAGTGGTAGTTATAGATATATCAAATGAATGTATTCTCCATTTCTGCAGCTATGGCACATACTGGGCGCATATACGCAATATATTACTAAAGTAGAGTTTTCATTCTGAGAAGAAAGTGTCTATAAAAATCACCAATTATGTATGACTTACCAACTTACACTAACTATCTCATATAAAGTAGTAGTATCTGAGTGTATAACCATCAATACCCCGGCAATACCTTTCAACAGTCATTATTCATCCACATATGCATGTTTTATTGGCGAAGTTAAACTTCCGACACCACTAACTACCAATCAGCGAACGACGTCGAATTATCCAACGAGATTCACGAACGTAGTTCAATGTTGTATAGCGCTTGATTCATTTCTAACGCGTGACCTTACAAGGTTAAGGTTGCAATTCAAGGAGGACAGTGTTTTCCAGTATTGCCTGGATTTAGGGTCGCTCCGGAAGGAGCGAACTTGTTTGTGTGGTGGTATTATGACTTTAAAAAGCTATAGCAGATCAACTGATGGATTTGTTCATAGTTGTGCTATATATCTGAAGCGTGCTAACATTAGATAGGGTAAGCTGATAATTTTAATATTTCGTAGGAACCTTTTTCGCTAGGTCGCATCTCTCCCTAACCCAGACTTTGTATATCTGCAACTACTGGGTGTTGAAACAGCCGATGAGAGCAGCAGCTGCCGAAACGGAGAATGGCCTCGTCTCAACAGTTCAGTGATACAAGCATTGCAGAGATACTGCTTCGTGTAAAATAGAGAAAATCACTTGTTCGGTGGGTGGATCCCGTTACGAGGACTCATACGAATTCCATTGAAGGGTCTTGTGACCGCTTGAAAAAAGGATAAGGGCTATAAATGAATCTCATAAGGATCTCATATATAGTCATTTAGATGAATATATGTACAGGATGTGGTGTGACTTCTCCATTGACAGTTCCATGCTAAACTGGGAGGTGTTTCACATGTTCGAGAAAGATACTCCTTGTAGCCGTTTTATCCTTTTTTCTATAAATATACGTTTCCATTTACCATAAATACCTCTTTAATGTGATTGGTCCGTTTAAGGTCGTTTGCTGATTTGTTGTTAGTGGTGTCGAAAGTTTAACTTTGTCGTTTTATTCCTCCATATTAACCCATTTTCCATAGAGAATTCAAAAGTCATATCTAGGAGACACTTGCAAAGAGGATTATGACTAGCATTCATTTGCAATGCTGAGCTATCTGATTGGTCGAATCAAGGCTATTTGGCTTTGGTGTCTACTGTTTACTCTTGCCATGAATGAATCGGGGCGGGGTATTTAATAGAAGAATCAGCAATATTAATGGACCACAAAGTATTGTGTTTTACTCCTACCTCGATGAATATATCTATAGGGTACGATACGACCTGTCAGTGGATTATCACTGGAGAAACTGAGAAAGATTTTCCAGCACATTGGAAACCATTATCCAGTTTATTATCATGTGTTGTAATGTTTTGAATACATTTTTTCTAACGATTATGCGACATTTTAGCATCTGAATTTTGATTGGTTGTTCG